TGTAACACTTGGCTTTGTGGGAATATTGCAAGTAAGATCTATAGAGCTTTCTTCCTCAGGTTATTAGCATTTATTTTTAATTTAATGTCCCACTGACTGCCATAGAGACTCAAAATAATAGTAAATGAAATGACAGATCAGCGTCTGCAGAGCATTTTATAAGCATATGCACTGGAGACAAAAGACATCCAGTTCATCTCAGAGATTAACAGAATAACAGAATAGAATAACAGATTTGGAAGGGACCTTAGAGGTCTTCTAGTCCAACCCCCTGCTCAGGCAGGAAACCCTATTCCATTTCAGACAAATAATTGTCCAGTCTCTTCTTAAAAACTTCCAGTACCCACAACTTCTGGAGGCAAGTTGTTCCACTGATTAATTATTCTGTCAGGACATTTCTCCTTATTTCTAAGTTGCTTCCCTCCTTGATTAGTTTTCATCCATTGTGTCTTGTCCTGCCCTTGGATGAGAAGAGAATAGGTTGATCCCCCTCTTCTTTGTGGCAGCGCCTTAGATATTGGAACACTGCTATTATGTCACCCCTAGTCCTTCTTTTCATTAAACTAGACATACCCAATTCCATTCTTTATATGTTTTAGCCTTCAGTCCTCTAATCATCTTTGTTGCTCTTATAGAGTCTCAACTTCTTTTTTACATCGGGGTGACCAAAACTGGATGCAATATTCCAAGTGTAGTTTTATCAAAGCATTATAAAGTGGTATTAACATTTCACATGATCTTAATTCTATCCCTCTGTTAATGCAGCCTAGGAGGAATAGAACAGTAAATAGATTAGAATAGATTAAACTTCTAGATCATGGAAAAGGTGCTGAATCCCCCAAAGTGGCAATCTTTGTAACTCTCATTAACAACATTTCAACAGTGCATCCTCAAAACCAGGCAGAAATACAATTATTTACTGGGTGTGTGTGTGTGTGTGTGTCAGAAAATAAGAACAACTCAAGCCCATATAAAAATGGAGTGATACAGAGTAATTGGTCACCATTATCCATGCTTACCAGAACAAATCACATTCTGGGGCAAGCAACTGGAGTCCAATTATACATAACATTTGTGGCCGAAGTAAGGCTACAGAGGATCGGGTGGGAGGGGTAAGTGGAAAAAATCACAATTTTCTTTGCCAGCTATGTCTCATCTGTTAGGGTAGTGATGGATGAAGAAGCAACCCTTGGGCTACCTATATTTTATCCAATATCATGCCATTGTGGAGAAAGTAATTTTTGCCAATGACCTCTTTGCTGATAATAACTAAATGTAATTGGTGGCATCCTGCCATTGTTCTGATAGGAAATTTCTTTCGTGGTGAAATTTGTAGTTGGAGGAGATGGCTTTCATCTAATTTGTTCATAAGTGATGGATGACATTCCTTATAAGGTATTAAATCAAAAGCCTGCCAGCAAAACATTCTTAATCTGTAATTATCAACTAGGAAACTTTTATTTATCCAAATATCTTATTTCCATCATTTGAAAAACAGAAGTTCTAAGTCCACTTTTTGAAAGGAAGTTCCCAATAAACTGAACTGTTATTTATTTCTGAACAGACATGGGAAAAATCTACCACTTTATTTCAGTTCATTCAAGCAGCATATGGCAAATTTCCTGAAGTTATTTTCCTGGTTCTGTGTCTCCTTTTTTAGACCGTTTTTCCATAGCTGTATAAATAACTTTTGAATGTGATCTAATAGGCAAAAACCTCAAGTTCCCCAAAAGGGGAAACTTAAAATTTGTTTTAATTTTGATTTGTTCTCATCTAAATGAATAGAGATAAGATTCTTTATAATAAAAGAGGTTACCAAAGAAATGCACTTTTATGCTGAGATAAAGCTGGGTTTTTTTCTTTAAAAAAATCCAAATTTGCATAAACAGGGGCTTTTTACTTTTTAATGCAGGGGTCCCCAATCCCTGGTCCATGGACCAGTATCGGGCCGCGGCATGCTAGAAACTGGTTCACGCAAACAAGCAAAGCCCCACCCTTGTGATGCAGGCAGCATATGAAACCACGCCCCCTCCGGTTCACAGAAAAACCTCTCTCCACGGAACCGGTCTCTGGTGCTCAAAAGGTTGGGGACCTCTATTTTAATGTCTTAAGTCCCATTAAGTGCAGATAACCTGGCCATGAAAGATGGTGAAATTACTATTCTACATAGAGTTTACTTCTCAGAGAAATGTATGTTTAGACAGGAGACTAGCAATCTGTTCTTGCATAATCTAACTTCATGTCTGCATGTACCTCTTCCCTAAAGTAAATGAAATCTTATGGTCTCATATACGATTACTAAAAGCTTACACCAGAACATGAACATGTCACCAGAGGATCAGTAAATCCACATAAATACATTTTCTATGAGATCATTCTAATCTCATGCATTTTTAATCATCTCTAAAGATTTGGGTGAAAAATGTTTTGTTGTATTTTGAAGCGGGTAAGATGTTTATGAATGTTTTATTCTACGGCTCTCACTTAAATTTCTTAAATCATAGGCTTGCTTCAACACTAGAGGCATTCCCTTTCTTACCCCCTTCAAATAAAATTCAAGTTTATTAATAACCAATCCTTACGTGTCATTATAAGCTAATTATAAAAAAAAGGTTGTCACTGTCCCATAACTGAAAATACTATCCCAAGAGATGTACGAGTATTGTACTGTCCTTGCATTCACTGGAGTTTATTAGAAGAGCATAGGAATAAAGAAGTTGACCAAGTACAGGAGAATAGAGGATTCTCATACTGAATCCAGGTAGGGCCAAGATGACATAGTGTATAGTAGTCTTCTCTGTGGCTAACATGGCACTATCTTGACAGTATCAAAGCCAATGGATCCAGGAATCCTTAAGAGTCTGCTAAGGCCCTTTCCTGTCTCCATTATGATATCACAACAAATGTAGCTTAGAACAGAGCTGTCAAACTCGCAACATCACGTGACGTGTCGCGACGTATCACAACTTTTTTTCCATTGCCAGCAATGGGGTGGGCACGGTTTCGGCATGACACCCCTGGCTTAGAATGTATGACTGGGACTAGTGTTTAGCTTTGAATTAGAAAGAAGGTATGTCATTGACAAACAGTCCGTGTTTTTCAGCTGGTCTCACATTGTTATGATCTGGTGTCTTCCAATATGTAGCTGGAGGAAAGGGAAGAAGGAATGCTAGAGCTGCCGGCATCCACAATCTGTTTCTGTACACTGTTGCAACTGAAGGCATTATTTCTCACTGTTCTGAGGTGGAAACAAATTTTTAAAAAGCTTAAGCATTACAACGTAATACCAAGGAAACTCCTCCAAAATCCATTACCCAAACTCACCCCTTCAAAAAATGGCACATGGTTTCACCCACTTTGCAGTACTGTAGTATTTGTACCCTCTCTCTCATATGTTTAGCCTAGCACTTGTGTATTCAGAGAGGTTGTTGTCTTGTAGAGAATGCTGATTTAACTATCAAAGGGGTTTTGAAGACCAAGAGATTACCCTTTTAATGCCACATCCGAAAGCTAAGAGTTTACAGAAGACTAAAATAAAAAAAGGCATATTCAGTTTCCCCAAGGGATCATGGCTGGACTGAAAGGTAACCGCACCTTCTTTCTCAGATAAACAAAATATGGATGAGATGCAACAAATGGCCTTCTGAAATTCTTAGGACAAATGGTAGAAATACCAAGTGAGTGTTCCTTTTTTCCCCTCTCATACACTCAGTTTTAGGGCCATTTCTGAAAGTAGCGGGGCCCTTTGTTCTTTGCCTATACTTCTGAAGCCCAGCTTAAGGTCAGGGAAAGGTCCTAATTCCACCTACCTGGAAGAAACAAATTTGCCACCTGAACTTGGCAGTATCACAAGTGTTCATTACCTACCTAATTCCCTACCTACAAAGAACGCCAACAACTGTCCAGTAAACCTCTCCTTCCCGTTTTCGTCTATCATTGCTTAACAGCCTAGCTGGATGACAGTCCCCTTTGAGATCTTGTCTGATGGGAGGGGGGGGGAGTTAAGCAGAATCAGACCTGAGCTATAGGCTGAAGAAGAAGAAAATCCTAGAATATATCGTGGCCAAGAAAACTACTGCTTGTGTGTCATGAGGCCACTGACAGCTTAGCAGGACTGAAAGGAGGCTTAACTTTTATCCACCTACCAGCTTGTTCTCGGAACAAGAAAGTGGGATCTCAATAAAAAAATAATCTTCTTTTGGATGTGCAGTAACTCTGGTGTACTGATTTTCCAACGCTGCTTTGGTTGGAATAGCAACGATACGGCTTGATCGCGACTATTGCGTCGGGCTTGAATATTCGCTTGCCGCTGAACGGAGTAGCATTTCTTTCCGAGTTAAATTGCAAAAAACAGAAGGCTATGTAAGACCCCGCACATTGCAAGGGTTGATTAGGCAGCCGCACCACCTCGAAAGGTTCCCTGATTTTTAGCCTGTCACCACCCGGGAGCCAACCCCTCTAGTCTACAGGAACACAGATCGGGTCCGACTTCTGACGCTAGCGCCACGATGCGAGTTAGTCTAGTGTTTTCAAAAAAGGCTGCACGTAAGAACTAGTTCCCCCTTGAGTTTTTCCACCCTTTTCTCCCGGCGCGGCGCTTTCCCAGCTCCTACGCTCCCCTTGCAACTCGTCAGCTCTTCCCCGCCGGCCAGGACGTCTTTGCAGACGCAGCTCGGGGATTGGAACCACCCTTTCTTTTTTTTTCCCCTCCCGCGTCCCCGTTTGGGGTGAAGCTTGGACCCCGCCGCTCGCGTGCAAGAGGCTGCGCCGCCATCCCCCTCCTCTTCCTCTCTTCCACCTCCTCCCTTCCCTCCGCCCGCCCCCCCCCGGCGTTGTCCGGGGACGCTTCCCGAAACTGGGCGAGGAGGGTAGGAGCCGGCGCCTACCTGCCCGCCTTTCAGCTCGAGCGCGGGCTGTCGAGGAAGTCACCTGCTCCCCAAGCTCCTCCCCCTTTGGCAGCCCAGCCCTGCGGGGGCAAAGGAGAGAGGAGCGGCGAGTCGCCCTCTGGCATAGACGGACGCTCCCGCTAGCTCGAGCCGGGCAGCCCGGGCGCCGACTCTGCTCCGCTCCGCTCCGTCCTCCCGCCGCGCGCCGAGGCGGGGGATTGCGCGCGAAGTCATGCATCCATTAATGAACTCTGCGCGCGGGAGTTGTTGCAGCGGGGGGCCCGGCTGGCGTTCCTCCAAGCCCCCGTCCGCTTGGCTTTCCCTGGTTCTGGTCCCTGGGACTGATGAATGAATCATGAGGTGGCTGCTGGTAAGGCATTTATCTGGGGCAGACGGCACCGCAGCCTTCTGCCTTCGCACGGTGGGGTGAAGCGGGCGGGAGAGCGCGACCTGCTTTTCCTGGCCAGCTCCGGGACCTGCCGCCGACCCCAATTGCCAGCTTTGCCCGCCAGCCCCTTGGGTCCTGCAGCAGAAGAACCGCGGCTTTCCATGGCTCCTGAGGAGGTAACCCCAAAAACGCGAAGTGGTTTGTTTTGGCTAGCGAGCCACTTCTCTCTTCCGGGAGAAAGCAAAAAGAGAGGGGGAGAGAGAGAAGCTCGGATGTTAAAATTAGGAACTGGGGTTAATACTTGTCTTCGGGCTGGTATCGAGGCTGAGTGTTTTTCCACAGAGTTTTGAACGCTGTTAGTCTTGGGAAGTGAAGTCCACGTGTAATCTGGTGTGCGTCTGAATGTTATGTCACTGAAGTTCCTCGGCGATGCGCTGCAGCGGATCAAAGCTCCCCTCGCCTCCTGCCTAAGATCTACATGCTGAGTTGGAACTCCTCTCAGCGGATGCTTAAGGAAAACATTTGTGACTTAAAAAATAAAATAAAATAAAATAAAAATAAGAGGCCATTGGCAAGCCCGGGGAGGGAGATCATGAAATATTAAAAGCAGCTAATGCATTGATTTCATTTTTCTTACCCAAAAATGAACACTTGCAGATTAATTTGCATACTTAACATTACCTTTGAAGAGAGAGAGCAGTGCCAAATTCATTTTTCCCCCTTCCCCATGCACTGCATTTAAATTTGCCTTAGAGAAAGACTTGAGTCACTTAAGTTGCCATCAGCTGGAAGATCACAATAGGTCACAGTTATTTATTGCAAGGGAGGGGGCTGCCTTTTGAAATCTAGAGATAATTCACTTCTGTTGCATCATTTCTTACAAGCCAACTGCCCCTGGGTCAGAGTTGACTAGTAGTCACATGTCCTGATCTGGAAGATTGGCTGATATCGCTGATTACCGAGAGAAAGAAACTCTGCATGTGCTTAGATGTACTCTCTGCTTGTTGCATCAAATTGTTCCAGGGCTGAGTCCATCCTTATACAGATTCTGTAACTGAGCAAGATCCATATGAACCCCTAATGCTCATTACACTAGCCAAGATTGCATAAATGCTTAGACCAAAATTTGTTTAATCTTAAAATAAAGATTAGTCACCATTATTTAGTTTATTTTGCCTTTTTTTCCCCACTAGGAATTATAGCCTCGTAACCTGTCTGGAAAGTATAATGACTAACAACTTTGGGGTCAATTTAGAAATAATAAAGCTATCCTATGGTTTGACCTACGAATACAATAGTAGGTTATATTCCTTAATGCATGTTTAAAATCATTTTTGATAGTTTAGTTTGTGGTGGGGCTAAAATTACTGTAATTGAGTTCATCTTCTTTGTGTGGACACGCAGAGTAGCTAAACTTTTTTAATCTAGCTTTCTGACTTCATTATTTGTGAAAATCTGATTTTGTAATACGCAAATATTGCAAAAGGGAGGAATGAATGGAATTGGAAACCAGCCAAGATACATTTTCAAAGAATAATCTATTTAATTGAGTAATCTGCATAGTAGTATGGGTGAACCACAGATAGGATCAGTGGTGGGATTCAAATATGTGAACAATCAGTTCTCTGTATCGATGCTGCTTCCGGAAGTCCATTCTGGGCCTGGGCAACAAAAAATTAGCTACCCGTTCTGCCAAAGTGGTGTGAACCAGCTGAATCCCACCACTGGGTAGGATCTGATATATTTGGAGTGCTTTTTTTTAATCGCTCAGTGAGGGTACTTGAATCCTGAACAGGAGCCACACTAACAATAGTTCCCTCTTCCTGTGGTCTGAATGAACCTGTTGCACTGAAGAATGCTTGGGTGAAAATCACCAATCAGAATTATTATTCTGCAACTAATTCTTGGATTTTAGAATCCAGGAAAATAGATCCCACAAAATCTGAAATGCCTCAAAGTAATCCAATGTCTTTAAATGATCTTGTTTAAAATTGTCTAAAATGAATATTGTTCAAGTTATTTGTCTAATGACTACTATTTAATCGGTGACTGAAAGTTTTCTCCTTGTTTATGAAATCAACTATCACTGTGAAACAAAGGCAGCAGTTCTTTGTGGGACAGAAAAACCATCCTGTCAGGTTAAGTTAAAAAAAAAAATTCTGATATATTACTTTATGTTGCAGTCATTTATCATTCTTGAAAGAGAACCATAAAGTGTTAAATCTATTAAAAATTTACCAGAATATGCTCAGGTAATTGTTCCTAATTTCAGGAGGCTGTTCACATTTAGAAGACTAGTGCTATAACCAATTGCACTCGCTTTTTTAATTCTGTGAACCATATCATTAGTAAACATAGAAAAGATTTAAATGGGTTCGGTGTTTATTGTGCTGTGATAAACCCTCTATTTAATTCGTGGCTGCCTAGCAGCAGCATCTAACCAACCTTAACTGATCTTAAGCAGCTAAATAGGGCCAGATCTGATTAGAACTTTCATGAGAGATTAATAGTTGCATCTGAAGGCTGTAGGCTAAACTAGGAAGTTGAAGAAAACACTTTGGAATAAGGCAATAGCAAACCACTTAAATCTTGTTGACAAGGAAACCTGTTCATGAAGTTGCTGAGTCAAACTTGACTGTCTTTTAGTTAGCCCCAGCTACAAAGGCATGGATAGTTTGTGGATAGTTCCTATGTTGCCATTGATTATAATAGCAAAATATATGCCTAACCTACCATCTCCCATTAAAAAAATCTCAGAGCCTATAAAGTACACTGCTTGTACTTTTTGTGTTGTTGATTGAATTGAGACTGGACAGCCAGCCGCTTGTCAGAAATGGTAAAGGGTCTCCTGCCTGAGCAGGGGGTTGGACTAGATGACCTCCAAGGTCCCTTCCAACTCTGTTATTCTGTTTTTCTGAATTAAAATTAAACTTGTTCTGAATTAAAATTCACCTAAGACTTATTTCAAAGGGACAAATGGCAACTCTGTTTTTCTCCCTACCCCACTCCCCCTACCATCTCCATCATTTATTTTATTCTTGTTTCAATTCTTACATGTTAATTTCTGGTTGTGACTCTCTTGCTCTCCAGAAGCACTGCTGAATTCCTGATTGCCTTTTAATTTAATCCAAACAGTATGACACTCCTACATTTTCTTCCAGGACTCTATGTCAGAATAGGAATTATGAAAATAAGGATCTGCTATAGCTAATATTAAGTCTAGCAGTATGAAAACCTCTAATTTGGTTCTGTGTACTTTTACTGATTTCCCAGTTTGTAGGTTACTTTACAATTAATCCATCTAATAAAAGAGTACACAATTCCCCCGATTCCAAGATTTGAACAATCATGTCATTAGAATATTGGTTTACTCCAGGTTTCTATGTACTTTGCTCTGATTCACGCCCATAAAAACTCATAGGAAATGAGGGTTATTAACCTCATATTTATGTGTTTAATTTTACTACTGGAAAGGAAGTTTTGAAGATAGACTTTCTCCAGAACTGGAGCCTGTAACAGTATTAATGCCTTCTTTACTAACATTCTAAGGTGATATTAGTAGTAGTTGGTTACTATGGTTTTGTTATTTGCTTTTGGATCGTAGAATATTAGCATTAATATAACCCAGATAACACAATTTGATTTAAAACTGAAAACCTGGTTTTGACTTCTGTTAAACCCTCTATATCAGGGGTGTCAAACTGCTGGCCTGTGGGCCGGTTGCATCATGTGGAGGCTGCACCCACCCAGCTCCAGCAATGCGAAAAAAGTCACGCTACGTCGCGACACGTCACGCGACACAGCAAGTTTGACACCCATGCTCTATATGGAACCTTTCACGGTGTTCTCTCAGTATATAAGAAATGACCTAACAATTGGTCTAAAGATTTTAGTCCAACATCTAAATATGCCAATCGGCGTATTTCTAGGGAAACATTTTTGTTGTAAAGTTTGGTGTGTGCTATTAATAAACACTCAACTTCATCTCACAATAATTCAGAGCACATGAGATATAATAGGCGTGAGATTTATGGTTTGTCAGTTTTAATGATGTGTCTTGTTTGGCATTATTGCATTTCACACTTTTAATGAGTCAGAAATTTATTGCAAAGGCACATCCTTTATGTTCATAAAGAACGAGACAGATCCCTCATCAAGGGCACAGTTTTCATTTTGCCTCTGTTCAACTTTTTGGTTTTTTATGAATGGATCAAAAAACAAAATGCACCATATTCTAACGAATGTAAGACCCTCTGAGATTCCTATTTATATTTATAATATATGTTATATATTGAAAGTTCTTGGAACAAGTTGAATTGCACTTGGAATATATCACATTGTACCTTTCTTCCTATGCTTTTTAACACCTTCCCTTTCTTTGCTGATCTCCCTGCCCTAGCATCTGGAATACAATATGTTCAGTAAAGTTTGCTTTGGTTTTTTTTAAAGATCAGAAGTCATTCATTTCTTTCCTTTTAGGGAAACATAGAGTGACAGAACTTCAGACCTTTCAAGTTACAGAAATTTGCTACAAATTGGAATCTTCTTTGATTATTCTGTCACTCATATCAATGCAGAAAACAGTATATGAAGAGTTATGCTAAAACTTCAAAATGGAGGAAATTTGGACTGAATTTGGAAAATCTAATGGTACATCAAATGCCCCAAACTGGACTGAGAAATTGATGAGAGCTTCAAAGGGTTGGCTCACTGCAAAAACTGTTTGCAAAAACTACAATATTGTTTCCAAATTTTCATAGAGAAATGGAGCCAGTTGATTGACAGGTTGACCTTCTCATCACTGGCAATATTTTTTCAGGTGCATTCCAAATCATAGAGACTTGGTGAAGTCCTTTCAAATGGCTATAGAAAACCACTAGAAGATTTTCACCAAATCATAATTGCTAAGATGAACACTGTATTATGTTGTTAAGAACCATGCTCAAATCAAAATGCTTTCTTAAACCATTGGTCTCCCAACAAATATAATGTAATTGTCTTAAAAAGAATCCCAACATCTCTGCTCCTATTGTTTTGTAATTTACAGATTTCTTATCCAAATGAACCAATTTGTGCAATTTTCATTGAAGTATTCTGTTAAACAGCATTTGTGGAAGAGAAAATGGTTTAATTAAATCTTTTTGGCCTTTCAAATACTAGCTTTATCTCAGAATTT